AGGTCATTTTTACAGACAGTAAATGAGACTTTACGAACCAACCCAATCGCTTTAGTCTTTTCAACACTAATCCACAAATATAAGGCCAGAAACAGACACGCATAACAAAGCCTCCGCCACAGCGCAGACAACAAGTTCTATATCCGTCGATTAATAAACGATGCGCCGACAGACAAATACAGGAACATAGATACAAAATCTATCCAGGCAGCTCTAATTCAAACAATCTATCTCCATGGATCCAGGTGTAAAAACAATTACATTTATATGTGTGTGAGGAGATAAATACGTTCTATCCATAGACAATTCGAATTAGATCTCTCTATAGAGAAATAGTTTTATCTATCGATCTGTATGTGGGGATGGAGAGGCTCTTTGAATTGTTGAGGTCTGTCTCCTGTCGCTATCGCAATCAGCTCACAGAGATATCAGTGCCTGAATTTTCTTCTCACCCAAACCAGTTCCTCCTCCTCGCTCACCACCCACCCGCTCCACCTGCCGCTGGGACGGAATGTCCCTCTGCGCAAACAGGAAGAAGGAAAACTACGCCCCAGGGAAGCGCACTGGGCGGCGGTGGGGTCGGCGGAGTTTCCTCCTGCTGCGAAGCAGGTAGGGAAATGCCCCTTCCTCTGATCTTGACCCCAGCACTGAGTGGCCCCGGCTGGGCTGCATATGGGATACCTCAAGGGATCAATCAACCAGCTCCGGAGCCCCGCATCCCAGTCCTGTAAACGGCGTTTTCCAGACATCCCTGAGCTACTTCTTCCTCCACCGGATTAGTGGGAAAGAGTCCCAGGGAGCTAGAGATGAGTTTCATTACAAAGATGCTAAAACAGGCTCCCGGCCAGGAAAGGGGACGTCGCCTAGGGCTGGGGAGCCCTGGGATTTGGCCATAGGCCAATAGCACAGGGTGATTTTCCCTCTTGCCTGGGACGCAGGGGGTCAAGGACTCCCAGTATAGAGGGGAAATCGGACCCCACACGGAGGCCTCCGCTCTTCTCATCCGCAGTGTCTCCTACCGCCCTTTAGGGAGGACTTTTCGATCTAACATTCCTTCTCAAGCCAGGTGGTTCCTCGAATTCGAATCGAAGGGAATTGTAAGACCTTCTCTCACGCCTGCTGGGAGCGATATTGTAAGCGCGGGGAGCGGAACCAAACACTCATCACACCCTATTTGTAATCGGTTACTTGTTTAGTCGAATTTAAAACAATTGTTAACAGGGACGATTGCCTAGAACAGTCATCATTTCGTTGTCTGGGATAAACAGAAAACAGGGGGTGTACACTGCAGAGAACGAAAGAGAAGGAGAGTCGGACTCAGTTTCTCACTGGTAGAAAAAATATTGCTAACTCAGAGCAATTCAAAACAAATCCCTGGGGCTGGTACCTAGAACAGCAAAGGTAGCAGGTGAACAGTCCACAGCAAACACAAAGCAAGGGGGCTAGTGAAATTCACAACCCGCGTCTCATGTCTCCTCTTCGGTACGGAGAGGACTCTGAACTGGGGGTCACTGGAAAGCAACAATCTCTCATCCCCGCACAGGGAGCTTTCTGCGCGGCTTTTGCATTTATTTAATCAAACAAAATACAAACACACCTGCCACAACCCCATCAGAGGAAAGGATGAGAGAAGGAGATAAAAGAGCCAGAGGTGAAACGCGGCTGCCCGGATCGCTCCTGTCCCCTCTCTCTGGAAATGTTTGACTCAGACTCTCCATTCAGCCGCTATGTCAGGGCTGCTCTGGACACATTTCCAACTCAAGAGTTTTTGGTTTGGTTTGGTTTGGTTTGCTGAGGGGTGGGGGAGAGGGGGAAGAGTATTGTTGCAAATCAGGAGAATCCGGGAGCTGCTGCTCAGGAAACCCAAGGGATGGAGCGCTCCAGCCTAAGTGGAGGAGATTCCTGCAGCAAGATTCTGCCCAACCCAGAATCCACCAGGATCTGGACTATGCCCGCCCCAGGAGCCTTTGCAGCCCCCCAGTCTTTCACCTGAGCCCCAGTGCCCAGCGGGAGCGTGAGAAGGGGGGGTTCCAGGAGCTGCCTAAAGACCGGTCGCTGTCCAAGCAGAGAGGGGCACAGAGTCCTTCCCATCTACAAGTCCCTTGCACAAGCACAACCGCTGGCAAGGCGGAGGGTAAGAAAACAGCATCTTTTGCCTGTCGGGGTCGGGAATTTCAACTCTGCCAGCCAGTGACCCGCTAGGCATCGAAATGTAAGCAACCAAAATACGAAAGGTGACTGACAAGGAATGAATTGATCAATGGAATATACTAGACTCGTGTGTAAGCTATTCAACAAGAAAGATCGGTCTCTAAATACACAGATACCTTTACAGCCAGAGCTTTGTAGAAAAAAAGATAACTAGATCAAGATATGTAGATACACGTACATTTGTATCTATGTATCTATAGTATTTATCAACATATAGCATAGATATTGTGTATGCGAAGAAAGAGATAATTTGTATACGTCTATACATAATGGTATATAGCTAGACACGAATTTAATTATGCCTGGATACAGATCTCTCTATAAATATACAGATAATTGTGCGTATATGCAGAAATAACGGTTTGTACATTTATATATGTATACGAGAGAGATCTGTATCCATACATCATTCGATAGCGGTCTAGATCTAGAGATCAATATTTGGACAGATTGATACAATGGGATTTTAAGGATTTTTGACATACAACCTAGCCGTATTTGATCTAAACCAACTGACTCTTCATTATAAATACAGATTCTCTGACCCGAGCTATAAATTGGACCCTATTTCTGACCGACAGGTCTATCTCTGGATAAATGGCCGGGTCCAGTTAATTCTCTCTCTCGCTCGCTCGCTCTTCTCTGAATTCGGGAGATTGGTTTGGAGGCGGATTTTAAAACTCAGTAGCAAAAGGAGGAAATTTCCCCTCTGGATCATAAAGCGGAATAAAATGAGGTCGCACGGGCTCCGTACAGCCTTTAAAACAATCCCCAGTTTTCTAGCCGGGGAGAGGGCACCACAGGTCAGAAAGATAAATCTAGAAAGGCTCCAAACAATCAAATACAAACAAAGGAACAGTCCAGAAGCTGAAACCCGTTCTTCTTATTCCATCGACCAAGATCATTCTGGGACATTTTTTACCACCCTTCTGTGTGCCCTGCTATCGCAAGAAAGTAACCGCACTTCCCTTCTGCTGGGTTTCAGACGGTAGCAAAGATTTACGAGTCAAACTAGGTGTGAAAGGCCCCTAACTTCTCCTATAACTTCCCCCCACACGCCAGCCAGCTCCACCACTTTCCAGAGAGATCTCGCCGGAGAGGCGCTAAGCCGGGGGGCGGGATGGCAGAGGATCTGTAAAGTACCCCCTCATCAGTGACTGTGACCACCTTCCCGGCTGCAAACGCGACCCGGGCCTGGAGTGAGTTAGCAAAAGGATCTCCAAGCGAAACCATTCAACGCACGAGACGGGCAGTCTCCGCACAACGCCAAGCAACAGGGTGTAATGTATAACAACGCACACACCGACACATCCGCATGCCAGCGCCCCGGTTAGCCAGAGACCTGTGGCCGCAATTGCGGAAAACTCTTGATCTGTTTCCCCTGTCATTTACATGTCATGCTTTTTCCGAGCGCCCGGCGGATTTCACATTTCAGCGGACCCGAGACTTCCCCGAGAAAGCCCTGGAAACCAGGCAAAGCCCCGCCGGGAAAAGCCGCACGCGGCATCTCGGCTGCCCCGGCCACCCGAGGGGCGAGGCAGAAATGCCCCAGGGCCGTTCTCAGTGTAACCAGAACACACGGGCTGCGAGCGCGGAGGAGAGACGCCGCATTCAGAGCGGAGCAGGGAGCCAGCCCTTTGCCAGAGCATCTATCGCCTACAGGAGGGGCCGATCCGCGTGCTCAGCATTGGGAACAGAGCGAGAAATACGGGGTCATAACACAAGCAACGAATATTATGGAGTATGGATGTGTCTATATTATGTGTGTATGTATCTACATTAACATATACCGTATATATCAGTGTGCATATATATATCCCCATATATATATGCACAAACAACATATATACCAGCGTGTATGTGTGTATATATATATATATATATATTTGTGCGTATATATATATACACACACGCACAAATATATATATATATATATATGCATTCGCACAAATATATATATGTACATACACACGTTATAATACATACACACACCATAGCTATATTATACACACACACACACACGTGTAGATACATCCATATGCTTATAGTATAGCTATATTCCTGATACAGGGATCACAACTGAGCTCTCCTATGCATATAACTTGTGTCTATTCCTGGATCAAAGTTCACAGCTTAGCCTGAGCTACACTACCCTCAAGTCCAATTTGACAAAACAACCGCCTGGGATCTCCCCCGGCAGGCAGCTCAGCGGGTCTTCTCCCCTTCCTCCCGCCCCCATTTGGGAAGAGCAGATTGCAAATAAACTCCCCGGCGGTGACTTGCATTGGGGTCTCCCCACTCCTAGGAGCAAATTGGCAAGATGGGTGCACTTTCCGGAAATTTCCCCCCTTAGAATGCAGCGCTCAGGGGGTCTCCCAACTTCTTGCAAGGCGGTTTAAAGTTGATGTGGCTGCGGGACCAGTATTTTGCTGTCATCCAGGAAGATTGTTTACTTCCCATTAGCTGCCTAGCAGCTCCTCTTCCCCAATCAGCACAATCATCCTGCATATCCACTCTGTTCTGGGTACTTCCTTCCCTGTTGCATATTATTATTTTTCTCTCTATATTATTAGTATTTTAAAAAGAAGGCAACCAACCTCATCCAGCCCCTTCGCAGGAATTTGCCTCACATGGAAATACCCACCCGTCTTACATTTTTCAAGTACTTTTTCCGCCCCTGCCTCTCCACATCTCACAGTGCAGTTAGCCACCCTCCCTGCACCATTTAGGCTTCTATCATTGCCAGTTTTCTTTATTATTAAATCAATGAGGGAAAAAAAAATCCTTACGTTGCATTGGCACACCAAGAATCTCTGGAAGCCCCTTGACAGAACCTTCTGTAGTGAGTGCTGAGCTTTGCATCATTTTATTTAAATAGAAAATAAAAAATAAACGGCTCTATTTTATCTCTCTATAAAAATAAAACAAAACATTAAGTTTAAAGTACAATCAGGGCTGATCCTTCTACACGTGCTGGAGGACTGGAGTGGCCCTGTTTTAGCCCTGGTCTGTTTCAAATCTCTTTTGATCCTGCTATCCTGGGTTAGTGTATCCCGGGTTAAAGTGATGCTGCCGCAGCTCTTTTCGCTGGAATGCTGGTCCCCTGAAGGCAGGTTTGATTCATTCACACTGCAGGGAGTGAGCGTGACGTCACTTTCCGCAGGGAGGCCCCGCCCCCTCCAGCCAATCCCCTTACATCATGTCAGAAACTGGGGCGGGGACACCCAAAGGACAGAGCCCAGGTAAAGATTTTAGGGGTGGGGCCACCAGGCGAAGTGGGCGCGGCCTGTGCCTTTATGGGCGTGGCTACCTGTCATTCAGCCCCGCCCCTGCCCTTCGAGGGCTATAAAGGCAGCGGCGGCAGCTGGTGCCTTAGAGCTCCTCGTTGTCTTGCTGGCTTAGCGCAGCCCTTCTGGTTGGTCCTGGCATCCCTTGTACCGGGAGGTTACCGCGGTGAAATAGCGGCGCCCCAGGCTTGTTACACCGGGGCAGGCTAGAAATCCCTGCGTCAGTCACAGCCCACTTTACTATCCCTCGTTCCTGGGCATCGCTGCTGCTCCATTTCCCTCCCTCTTCAACCCCCGTCTTCCCTTCACCCTGCGGCTCCATCCATCTACCCCTTCGCCACCCAGCCACCGGACACAGCAGCACCTGCCCCCTTTGTAACAAACGCTACGAGAAATCCACACGCCTCGGCTGCCGCTGGCAGGATTAAACGAGACCGCCCGCCCCGCCTTCCTTCCAGTTGGGGTTTGCTCCCAGTTCGTCTGGAAGCAAATTAAGCTCCTCATTTCCACGCGGCCTTCCTCATTTTGCAGCGCTCGTCTCTGCTGGAGCTTCTCACTCGCTTTATTCGTTGCCTGGTTCTGTCTTCCCTCAGCAGCTCTTCTAAGATTTCCCCTTTATCCAAATCGTTCCCGGTGTTTTATTTCCCCCTCTCCCACGCTGACATACAGCGTCAGCTACCGCTTTGCTTCACCTTGCACAGACCTGCTGGATAACGCTGGGCTCTGTATTTCGCACGGAGCATCGCGATTCTTTTTCAATGAGTGCCGATTACATGTCCAAGCCGCGCACACATTGAAATAGCTCGGATCCCATGACTTATTTAGCTGGAAAAATTCAGATCTCACACGAGGAAGCTATTCTTCCCGTCTCTGTTCATTTTGAAGCTTTTCCTCTTAAAAACAATTCGAATCACTGCTGCATTATTACGACACGCAGGGCAGAAAGGTCACACAGTGGAAAACAAACAGGTTTTTTAATAGCTTTTTTCACTTTATACATATAAAAACCTCTGGCCAGTTTTGCTAGCCCCAGTCCATCATATCAACATGAGCTGGATGTCTGACTAATTTCATCTAGTTAATTTCAATATTTGCTCAGCCAAACATCCCCCTACCCTGGTTTGAGTCTGATTCGGAGACCGGTTCTCGCTCCAGGCAAGGCTGCGGTTATTCGGTGTTTCCTATCCTCTTTCTCTAGGCGTTAGGAAGGGATGCTGGCTGGCTAGATTAGGAAGCTAGAATACCCCACATTTGGGCGCTTGGAAAAGAGAGAGCTCCAGCATTTGGCTTTTTTGCTGCCCACTGAACCTCCTCAGAAAAGGAACCCCGCTCACCCCTTTTCCCCCATGAAACCCAAGGCAGAAAACAGCCAGCCCAATGGCTTTCGATAGTACTCTGAAAACCCCGTCTTAATGTACAAGGAAGATGGCCTAAGAAATACAGCGCTCCACCTTAAAGATTGCAATGTTTGCCATTTGCTACTGCTCCCGTTCTTCCCAGTGGCCGACTGCTTTCCTTACCGGGGGCTGGGAGGGAGAGGGTTTTAAAACAGCATATTTTAGGAGTAAAAGTCACTAACTAATGACTGAATGCATGTCATGCCCCTTCTCGTATTGTGGACCATCCCCACGGATGGCAAGAGCCCTGCACACACCCGTGTCTATTCCAATGCCAGCGATATTAAACCATGCTGGGAAATGTCCTTTACAACAGATGAGAGAGACCGAGATCAGGACTCTGTTAATCGAGACTTTTTAAACAAAAAGCAATAAGTGAAACGAGCAAAAAACCGAACAATAACGGGGAGTGAGTTTCCCATCCCTGGGGCTGATTTACTGTCATAGAGTCATAGAATCTCAGGGCTGGAAGGGACCTCAGGAGGTCATCTAGTCCAACCCCCTGCTCAAAGCAGGACCCATCCCCAACTAAATCTGTCGGGTATCAGCAAACGAAAATATCAACATTTATTTCTCACGGAGGAATTTAAGACTCTTTTGCGAGGTTTAATAGCTGATTGGACACAGGTACTTTTCTAATCAATGCATCTGCTTCCTCCCAGCCCGCTGCACAGAAACAGCCACGCTTGGCTGGGATCGGGGGAGGGGGGTGAATCCCCCCTGTATTATGCAAAAGGCAATGGGCTAAATTCATTATTGGGGATGAATGGAGTATGGAGATGACCTCATTGCTCACGCATATTTCCCCCTCCCCATCCCCAACGGAATGGATTTGATTCATTGTGCCTACCTTGCCCGTCCCATCTCAGCGGCAGATCCTCCGCTGGCATAAATGGTCATCGCTCCGTTTATACCAGCTGAGGCTGTACGCCCCCTCCCCCACGCCTCTTGTCTCTAGCCTGTTGCCAGTCCAATTAAAATAACTTTTACCGAAGGGGACTTTTACTGAAGATGTCCCCGGCTGGAATGCGACTGTGTCCGATCCGTCAAACAGACCCTGCGATTATTAATTACTGTTATTGTTAGACGTTAGGTGTGCAGGGCAAAAACATTTGGGTTTGTCAAGTCAGTAAAAGGCACAAGTTCAGAGAGCTAAGCCTTGGAGAAAGATCCTAACACAATTATTTGGCAGAAGGAATTATGAACCGGGCTAGTAAATTCTATGTCTGGTTGCCCAAAAAGCAAACACCAAATAGATTTAAATTTAAAAACGGGGAGTTACTATCTAGAGTTAGTCAAAAAGTTAACTAGATTAATGAATAGGTCAAATTTTGATTAAAACCCAAGAATGTTAATTGTTTACCAAAAATTTTCACAAAAATATTCATCCCATTTTTAGACCAGCTCTAAAGCTGGTTGAATTTTTCCAAACGTTGACAAAAAAATGTCATTGAAATGTCAATATTTTCCTTACAATTTGCACCCAAAAAATCACCATTTTTAGATCAACTCTTGTTTGATGAGACCAAGCATTGGGGCCAGGGAGCAGAGAATGGCAGGGACTAAGCACTCACAAGGGCAGGACACAAGTCCCAAGTTAAAGAGCCAAATCATTCCCATATAGGTAGGAAAATGTGTTTCATAACCCACCAGCAGCCATCCAGAAGGTTCAGGAGTTCATGTGGAACTCTGGGACTCTTCTAGAGGAGTTAACTCTCAGAGATAACTCCTCCAGATGCAGAAATCTTTTTATCTTAGGTATTTATTTAATTTTAATTGCCTGTGTTCTTTAATCAGGACAATGTTAACTATAATAATATAGATGAGAGCTCTGTATCACTTTTCATCTCTGGATCTGGAAGTGTTTTACAAAGGGAGAGAAGAATCATTTCAATTTATAGCTGAGGAAACTGAGGCACAGAGCGGGTAAGTGATTTGCCCCAGGCAACACAGTCAGTAGCAGAGCTGAGAATAAAATCCCGGGGGCAGATCCTCAGCTGGCCCTAGGTCTCCTGGCTATCTGTCCAGGGCTATAGTGACCACGATGACTCCCAAGATTCAACATCATACTTCCATGAGTCCAGTGGACAGGTGGCAATCACCAATTAAACAAAATATTCTGTGGTGACAATACCAGTTAAACAAAGTGGAAGAAGAAAAAAGGATACACGGCCATGGATGTTAAAAAGAAACAAGAGAATTCACTCGAGTAGCTGTGCAAGAGTGTTTTGAGATGTTTCACTGCTGGAGAGCTTCTATGGGTGCTTACGCTGGTTCGCCACAACGAGAGTAAGCACACGGACATTTCCCCAGTTCACCTTTAATTCAGGGGAAGGGAGGGAGGAAGACATGAGATCCTAGTCTAAGACAAGGGGTGAAGTTAATTCCTGAAGTAAAATCATTGACGTTTAGTGCAGTTAAAAACCAAAGGTGAATTTGGCCCACCCAATTTAAAAAGCATAGGGGGAAAATGTAGAGAATTTCCACACACAGAACACTTGTAAGGAATATGGCATAACATATCCCATATTGCTATAGATCTGTCTGTCTATCTATCGGAGTCTTCTGCATGAGAGAGGTCTCCAAATGTTGACCTTTTCCTGAGACATAAGGTTGAATAGACAATATAACAAGAAGAACAAAATGCCAAAGACAGTAGGGGAAAAAAAACCTTTCATGAGATTCTTCATTATAGACAATGGAGCCATGTGACATGGTTTCTATCAATATTAATAATTATGCTAGCACCCACTATATGGGAGGTTGCTACTGGGGATAGATTACTGTAGTGAATTGCAGAAATCAATGCATTAGATCAAAATCTATCTTGTTACATCCATAGGCCATAGATGGAGAACATTTCAAAAGCTCTTTGTCTGTGTTATGTTTTTCAGGATTCCTATGGCACATGGCTTCTGGAGCCATGCAAAGACATAATATTAATTCCATAGTATGCACCTACTAAACTGGTACAAAGTCAGGCTATTCCAGATGAGGTCAGATTGACAAAGGCTGGAAGGAAAGCCGTGCAGGAGAAGGAAAAGCATGTGTGTGCAGGGGGTGATGGACAAAATTGCATAAACAAACTAGGGGCAACAGTCAGAGGGAATAACTAAGAAGGTATGGGAGAGATGACATACAGGCTCCTGAAGAATCCCTTCTATGGAATGAGAAAAGTGCT